GCATTCGGGACCACCCGATGTCCCTTCCCTCCAGATCAACGATGCTCTTACCTTCCGGGAGCTTCAGTTTGCCCTCGGCAGCAGTACAGGTAAATCAGCCGGGCCGGACGAGATTGGATACCCGGTGTTAAAAAACCTCTCCCTCAACGGAAAAACGAGGCTACTCGCCCTCTTCAACGACCTATGGCTCACTGACTCGTATCCGGACCTCTGGAAACAAAGCCTGGTAGTGCCCATTCCGAAGAACAACGCTGCGAGTGGAGAAGCCTCCTCCTTTAGGCCGATTGCGTTCACTTGCTGCGCGGCAAAAGTGATGGAGAGAATGGTAAATCGTCGACTTAGGCAGTTCCTGGAGTCTAACAGTCTCCTTGACGAACGGCAGCATGCATTCCGGCAAGGACATGGCTCCTCCACTTACTTTGCAGCCTTCGGGAATGTACTCAAGGAAGCCCAGGACAACGGTCACCATGCGGAGTTAGTATCCCTTGATATTTCTTAGGCGTTCAACATGACGTGGACGCCTGGCGTCATCAGGCAGCTCATCGGCTGGGGCCTGAAAGGCCACATCACGCACTTTGTACGGAATTTCCTCCTTGATCGTACCTTCCAGGTGACTGTCGGGAACACTCGATCGGATCCGTTCCCCGAGGAAACTGGAGTGCCCCAGGGATCCGTAATAGCGGTTACGCTATTCCTGGTGGCAATGAACGGGGTGTTCAGCTAACTGCCCAAGAACGTGCACGTAATCGTCTATGCCGATGACATACTCATCGTCGTAACGGGACGAACGACTAAACGGACCAGGAATATTGCCCAAGCAGCTGTCTCCGCCGTCTGCAGGTGGGCGCTTTCTGTTGGTTTCCAGCTCTCCGCTCCAAAGAGTGTACGGTGCCATATCTGCCACTCGGGCCCTCTGATTCGGGGACCACCGATCACCATCCAGGACCATCCAATTCCGCTTAAGAAAACAGTACGTGTTCTGGGGGTAGTGCTGGATCGGACTCTAAGTTTCGACCAGCACTTCAGATCGGTGAAAGAAAACTGTCGTAGCCGCATCAACATCGTCAGGACAATCTCCCGCCCGCACCGCTCCAGTAACCGCGAGATCCGCCTTCGTGTCGCCCGGGCTGTTATAGACAGTCGACTTTTCTACGGCATTGAAATTACCTGCTTAGCCACCGAGAAGCTGAACCGCATCCTCGCTCCGGTATACAATACCTACGTACGCATCGTATCCGGCCTTCTACCTTCCACGCCTGCAGACGCTGCTTGTGCGGAAATCGGAGTCCTCCCTTTCCGCTATCGATCTGCTGCAGCTACTGTTACGAAAGCCGCTGCCCTCGCTGCTAAGACATCCGGAAATGATAGGGTCTTTCTCCTCAATGAGGGGAACAGAGCCCTCCGCACTGCAGCCAACCTTGACCTCCCCCCGGTGGCCAGGGTCCACTGGCATGGAGAGAAAAGTTGGCGATCTAACGTTATCAAAATAGATAAGCGGATTAAGAGAGGATTCCAAGCCGGAGATAACTCTGTAGCGTTGAGGCGTTCAGTTGTAGAACTTCTTGGGTCGGTCTATCCGGGGCACGTTCATCGCTTTACAGACGGATCGCGATCACGGGCTGGAGTGGGACTCGAAGTGGCAGGACCAAACTCCGCAACAAGTCAAAGTCTACCGGAGGAGTGTGCAACCGATCCTTGTGCTAACGGACTCACACAGCGTCATCCAGGCGCTGGAAGCAGATGCCCCGAGCCACCCCTGGATACAAGCCATTACACGATATGCCCCACCCTCAACCGTTTTTACGTGGATTCCCGGGCACTGCGGTGTTCCTGGAAATGAGGCTGCGGACAGGCTGGCGGGATCCGGTCCATCTGGTCCCCGCTTCACCAGGAACGTACCATTCCTAGACGTCAAGCGTTGGATCGCGAATATTATCATGGAAGCCTGGCAGGAGGAATGGTTTCAGTCACGGACCACTTTCCTGAGAAAGATCAAAGAAACCGTACGACCCTGGCTAGACAGCCACAAGTACAAGGACCAACGGATCATTTCAAGACTCCGGACCGGCCATGTGAGGATTTCCCACAATTTTGGTGGGACACCCTTCCACAAGGTTTGTCCAATCTGCAGCATCCCTGCCTCGGTGGAACATGTGCTGTGTGTCTGCCCAGAGTTTCAGAGGCTACGCCCCCTCGACGCTGGCTGCGCTTATTGCTTTCTTGAAGGACGCCCACCTCTACAACCAAATCTAGCACTCTCGTCGTTGGCTGCGCTGTCCGTGTTCTTCCACCTTCCTATTTTCCTGCCGTCGGGGTATCTCTGCCGGACTGGGGCACTGTCTCTTACGGTGGAGCTCTACCTTGTTCACATATCCATTCCTCACCACAGTCCCGATGTAACTCCCATTTTACATTAAGTTTTTTTTTTTTAATGTTTTCTCAGAGCCAGCTTTACGTTACGTTAATGTTAGACTGAAACGTTTACTAAGATGCAGGCCCTAAGCCTGACCTACTATCAAATGTGATGAACTAGCCTACGGCTGAAAATCACAAAAAAATAAAGAAAAAAAAAATCCTTCGGCTGGGATTGAACCCAGACCCATTGGGGTGAGAAGCAGTCACGCTTACCACTTTACCACCTGCGCCGGACAGGGGGTATTCCGCATGGAATTTTTGATGAAATCCGATCTTTCAAATGCACTAAATATGTTTCAACATTATTCACAAAAGCTCTCTGGAAATTAATAAAAACTTAAATAAATCCATACAACATGATGGAAACTTCATAACTACAATAGATGGGTGGGTGCCTAAACAACTGATAATGTGTGCGAAAAATCTTCTCTTTAAGCTGAGTACTGCGGAGTCAATCGATTTTATTTTGCAAGCCAATGGAAAACTGCTTGAAACTATTTTCAAGTTTAAAACTGTTTTGCTCTTTCTCAGTTGATTCCCGCCAAAAGCTCTGAGCCAGGAGTGCTCGAGTTTTACTGCCATTGAAAACTCTGCTGAGTCAAAAGTGAACCTCAAGTGGACCCTACACGACTATTTGTATTGACAATAATCGTATTGTCAATATATTCTATATTGACGTCAATACATCGGTATTGACAATATTTCTGTATTCACATCATCAATATTATTGTCAATACTTGTAAGTATTGACAATATTTCTTACCGTGTGGGGTTTGCTTCATACGTATATTGACACGAAGGGGAATTATTGACAATACAGAAATATTGTCAATACCGATGTATTAACGTCAATATTGAATGTATTGACAATACGATTATTTCCAATAAAAGCAATCGTGTAGGGTCCACTATAAAAGCTATACTGGTTTGTAAACTTTCATCACTGAGTCCGTTTTTTTCCCTTTGAGCTTAAAATTAAGAATGTGCCATGAAAAAGTAACTGCATTTGTTGCTTCTGAATGTTTGACTCCCGTTTGACAATTCACACTACCTTCCAAGTGACAAGCACATTGAGTGAGTCCGCACTAGCCAGTATTTAAGGTGATTCCTTGTAGAGTCCACAAATGGCCGCCACGTAGGCTATACCTAAGAGGAAGAGGTGACAATTGGCTTCTTCCTCTTTTATTTCCATCTCTATCTCTATCTTTATCTATCTCTATCTCTATCTTACGCACATGAAATCGGCGTTTGAAAGAAAAGTGGTTAATTTTAGCCCCCGTATTGTCACCTCTTCTCTTAGGGCTATACATGCACTTCCACTTCGAATTTTCAATTACACAAATCTCGGAAATCAGTGCTCCATTTCATTTGAAAATGCTACTACAAACGTGGAGTAACAATATGTGTCGTTAATGTTTCGAGGTGGTTCCGAGCATAAGGATGTCACAGCGAATCATCTTAAGGTACTTTGGCTCCATTGAGCCAATGACGAGGTATCCGTTTTATAGCACTTACAGTTCAGCATTCAGAGATCTCTTAGGCATTTGTATGTGTAGACGGATTTGTCCGTTACCGAGGACGAAGAGAAGCCGCCACTAATCGAGCTAATTAGCATGGAATTGTTGACGATGCGCTACCAATGTAATTTTTTTTGTGGAGGTTCAATTTCAGATCGTGGCATGAGCTATTGTGACCGTTTGGTAGAACACTTTGAAATTTTCTTTAATAGTATTGTATGGTATTTTCAAGATTGGCATCCATTTTATGGCTTTATTGTTTTATGGAAAATTTATCTTTGTAAATTTAGACATTCGCAAACAAATATGACAAAAGATTTGAAACCCAAACCACCCAAACGCTAACCATGAATATAGTATGACCCGAATGATGAAATTATTAAATAAATAATTTTAGTGACACCGCGAACAAGTCTTTAACCCTTTCCTTCCTAGAAGGTTTTTTTCGTAGTTTTGAGATGCAAAAATGTGTTTTTGAAATGTTCTATACAGTCTAAAACGATCGAAACTATTTAAAAAAAAAATTAGTTAAAAATGAATAGGATTTTGTTTTTCAACAGTTACTCAGTTCAATTCTCAAGAATACATATGGACGAAAATAATGAGCATACGAAGAAGCATAAATAAGTACTGACTATTTAATGGTAGGTTGACAAACATGAGACGGACCAAAATGTTGCGGATCACCTGTGCTACCATGGGAAGGAAAGGGTTAAGCACGTGTTATAGCACCTACTTTTTAATTAGGGAAGGTAAAACGTACAAATTTACTACCATAAAGAACCATAAATCGGTGCACCTAAGGCCTAATTCTGCGCAGTTTAAAAAAATTCAATTGTAGACCATTAGAATTGTGTTCAAAATGTAGGTAGATATTAGGAACTTGTATCTGAGAAAATTATTAATTTAGATGAAATCACAATATACTGTAAAATTTCGAACAAAAAGTGCAGAATTAGACGCTGCGCAGAATTATGGCACTTACTATACTACAAAGTTCTATTATTTTCGGAGTCCAAAATTTCGTACTAGGTACTTTGGCATATAACAAAACAGTTAAAACCCCAATTTTCCGTAACTAACTGTTTATTTCAAAATTGTTGAGTTTAGATTAACGGAGAAAACACACCTTACTGGCAGAAGTGGAGGGTATCACGAATGACACGACCATAGTTGTTGAAGCGTTCCACTCCGCGATCGACGCAGGTCATGATGCGTGGCAACATGTCGGTCTTCAAATCGAAGATACGCTGCAGAGTACGCTCCAGCTGTGGCTGAGTGGTCTGCTGGAAATATTCGTATTTCTCGTTGATCTGAGCACCCACAATGGTCGAGATCGACTCGGTGTAGTCGATGGCATTCCAGTCGATGAATCCACGGACAACAATGTTCTGCAGCTCGGTCGACTGAACCTGAGCGTCTTCGATGGCACTGTGCACATCAGCGGTGGCTCCAGTGATGTCCAAGTTGGCCTGACCGGCACAGCTTTGCAGAGCCTGTCCGACCCATTCGATTTCAAGTTCCCAGTTGGCGGTGGCTACATCGAGACAAATCTGCTGAGCATCGGAGTTGCTGACTAGTTCTTCAGTATCTTCCTTGATCTTTTCAACTTCTTCCAAAGCGCTGTTCATGCGAGCAATCAGATCACGGTTCAGCTCGATCAACTCATCGCTCATGGTGAAACGCATGTTGTCGAAGGTACCCTCCATCAGCTGATGAACAGTTTCGGCCTGAGCCTGGATTTCCAGCAGATAATCGACGAACTCATCCTGGCTTTGAGCCAACGACTAGAGAAATGCACAGGAATTCAATGAATTAGTAACAGTTCGAAACTTTGATCCGATGATATAATCTTCAATTACCTGTCCGGCGAGGGCCAGCAGCAAACACACCAAGAACTTCTGCATTATTAGATTTATTTAGCAAACTTTGCTAGCTAATTTTCAATCCGCTTTCAATGAAGGCTTCGACAAGACTGACCTCAAATGGTCGACAATTTAAAATTAAAGTATTGTCCACCCTCAATCGAGTCGATTTGTTTTTAACACAAACAAACCTATCGCCTCTCGTAATATACCGACGTGGCGGATTCCGTGTAGATGGATTTGGAGCACATACATCTGATAGACCACCAAATCGCAGCTGTCGTGAGCTGATAATCAGAATCAGGAACATTTCAAGACAAGGCTGCCTTGCATGTTGTGAACAGGAGATGTCGTAACAGTCCAAGATCCATTTAATCTAATCTTCTCCGACCACTAACTTATGACCCTGTAATTCTGGCAATCTAGAGTTAAAAAACCACACATAGGATTGTGTCCAAATTTCCGATAAGATTATATGACTTGATTGGGGAACAGTAATATTAACAGGTAATTGGTCAATTCGGAAATTTGACCATCTGCAGGTATTGGAACTAATTCCGCATGTGCCGTGTCATGGTGAAGAATTGTATTGATAGTGAAAAGGATTCGAATCTCGAATCCACAAACGTATTACGTGGATGTAATGTGTTACAACCTTAGATGATTGAAGTTTGCATACTCCAGTTTTTCTGTCTATCTGATGCGGGATAATGCCCATTCGTAGAAAAGTTCGATCGACTGCAGGTCCGAGGTATCAAAAATTATAATGTCTGTTCTTCTATGTCTGAGATTCACAGTTCTTCAAGATCCAAGGTCCAGTAACTAAATTTCGGATACAAGTATCTTTGAGGAACCAAAAAATATGACATGAGTGAAATACAAGGGTACCTACAGAAATAAAAAAAGCTAATCTAGGATCCGAGATCCTAAAAATTCTTTAGTCTCAAGTAGGTACAAAACCATATTTTTCTACGAATGCTGGGAGCTGAAAAATTTAAATTCCGAGAAAGCGGTAATCTGGGAAATTTAATTAAGTTGCTGGAATGTATGTCATTTACAGGCAAATCAAAGCATGTGGCAATATTGTTGAAGGGTGAGAGGGCGGCACTAAAAAAACTAGAGGTATTAGAACAGTTGCCAACCCTCCCCTTCCTAAACTGGTATATGGACAACCCCTTAAAGTATAAGTCGATGCAAACATTTTGCGAAACTGCTTTTGTAAACAATGACTTCAACGATTTCTCGCAAAAAAAAAGCTTACTCATGCAAACTACTCAACTGGTAAAGGAAACATTTTTCTACTTGATGGTGTTGTTAGTTTGCATGTGTGAGCTTTTATTCACGAGAAATCGATGGCTAAAGCCCTTATTACAAAAGATGTTTCACCCTTTTGAAATGCTGATGATGAAGTATATTCTAAGCTAGCCCGACCAACCATTCGTGAAACTTCTTCAAAGTTCTTTATAAAAAAATATAGATTAATGTCGGTAATTCTTTACTTTCAAGTTTCTTTGATTTCGATGAATATATTTAAAAACCTTTATTGATCGATACTTACATTTAAGATAATTTCTTTATCGGTCGCATGATAGTAATCTATAAAGATGCCATACTAAATTTCTTCTAATTTCGATGTGTCACAAGGACTATAGTTTTCTTTATAAATATTCATCTAAAAATATTTGAATACTGATACCATCGTAACGTTGAACTTTGGCAAAGAACAATAAAGATTGCCATCGATGCACATTTATAATCTCCTTGTTATCGATTTGCATCGCTGGGTAAAGAGAGCTTGATACACACTAGATGACAGATGGCAATGTTTATATTAGTTATCGAAAATTTGGTTCTTCATCGAGAGAAGCATGATCTGTCGGAAAATCAATGGGAAGACTGATCAATGGCCACGATTATACAAATGTTTGCCATTATAGTTCTTTAAGTTTACGTCGATACGCTCTCGGCCATTTCTTAAGAATCAGCGATAGCAAGCGTGGTAGAATTCTCGGCATTTTGAACCGAATGAGGGAACCTGATACTTTGGTTATGGATATGACAAATAAATTTTAAATTCATGCTTGAAAAGATGTACATAAATTTCAATACCGTATAACCTAGAGTGTGATTGCCAGTCGTTAAGAAGCTCATCCACAGCAGCTGTAGACCCGAGGATTAGCTACCAACAAAGAAATCAGTACACCCTAGATGGCACGGGATCGCAACCTAGCAATTATGCAGATAAAAAAAAATCCCAAAAATATCAGTACCGTGTATTGTTTGGGCCTCCCTTAGCTCAGTCGGTAAAGGCGCAGCTACAAAGCAAGACCATGCTGGAGGTGGCTGGGTTCAATTCCCGGTCCAGTTTAGGAATTTTTCGGTTTGGAAAATTTCTTGACTTCCCTGGACATAGAAGTATGATTGGACTTGCCACCAGTCTTGTAAGCGCTCACGGTAGTCTACACATTTCCTGCCATTGACTGCCTTTGCCTCCGACATTTGCAAAACAAGCTATCATAGTACAGTACCAAACTTAAATGTCATATGAAAGGCTCTGTCATACGACACTGCCGCCAAAGACCGTCACGAATGTATGTTTTTTAGTTTTTCTCATAATAAGAGCTGCTGATGTTGTGCTTGTGTGAATTCTGAAAATAGCAAGCGATGATATCCTAGTAATAACATTTCTGATCAGAAATGGTTTAATTTATACCAAATTGAGGAAATCACACATGTCATATGATAGTTAGGGTATACGTCCCTAGCCTCGGTCTAATATGCAGCCATCGATTACGTTTTTAATCATAACTCATCAATGAATTTACCTGCAAACGATATTCTACTGCTAAATGGTATGCTTAGATATGCTTATCATGTCGTTTGCTATCAGAAACCACGAAAAGTTGAAAAACTTACTTTTTTTAAGACAATAACTCACGAGGGAAATGTATGTAATATGGGTCTATTGTCCCCAAATTGGGTCTATTTATGGATGCAACTTCGTCCTATCTTGTTTGATCCTCAAAAAAACGCTCTTGGTAACGTTTTCTGATGTATTTTTTTTTATCACTATCACTGTTAACTTAATGCTCTTCATTCCTCAAAACATTTCTTAGAGAAAATTTTACGAAAACTACATTAAATCACTCAATTTAAAAATTAAAAATTAAAAATTTCGCTTATCGTCTTTTGACCGCAGAATATCTAAATCAGAACATTGTGATGTTCATTATACAGGTTTGGCAGAAAAAATCTCCCTTCCTGTTCGTTCCTTATCATCCAAATGCAAAACAACATTGTTGACGTTACTCTTATTGCTATATGCTGTCAAATGAATTTCATGGGCCATAGTTAGGAACATAGAAAAGAAATGTGTCCCTAAAGTTGGGTCCATGTTTTACTTGTGAAAACGTTGTTAAACAATTAAAATAAACATAAAATATTCAAACAGCAACTGTAAGTTTTACGTCTAGTGTGTATTATCAGGTAATTCCAATCAATAAATGCCATAATCAGGCCATTTGATGATCGTCAGTCAACCTTCCCATCTTAACCTTATAAGTCATGGCGGCTAAAAACTCCGAACATTGTGATATTCTCAACCAGTTTTATTACTTACGAGAGCTGAAAATGTATTGAAATGTTGTGATATAAATTGATTTGTGTGTGGTACACATTTATCAACCATCAGTGATCAATATTTTCCTTATTTTTTGTGTAATATTCCTTAATTAATTATTTATTTGCGTGATAGGCCGAATGAAAGGACTAGACCCACATTACATACCGTAACCCTACTTGATAATTTTCTTTTTGCTCGAATGTTATTCTACCGCTTGTGTTTTGTGAGAGAGACGACGGTAGAGCATGAGTGTACGAATACAAACAGACTGTCGCGCACGACATCGAAGCGAGTGTAGTAAAAAACGTCAACTGTTTCAACCCCTGCTTGCCACACAATTATACCAATGCAAGCTCTCAATTAATAACTGTGGAAGTGCATCTAGAACACTAAGTTGAGAGCACGCTATAAGCTAATATGCGATGTGCAATAAGCTTGAAATGCGAAGAAGAAGAAGAAGAAGAAGTATTGTTATTTTGATCTGACAAGAGAAATCGATATTTTGATCTGGCAACACGATTCGATATTTTTACATAGGTAACGATTAGTAGCAACATTTTGATAAAGATGTTTATAAATGATTCACGATCAGGCTTTTAGTATCTTTACATTTATTCATTAAATTGTGACGATCGCTATCGATTTTTCATATGTCTTTGAAGATCGATATATCGAAAATTAAATAAATTTAACGAAATGGTTGGTCGGGAGGTCTGATCTAAGAGGAAGAGGAGACAACTGGTTTCTTTTTGTCTGTGAAGTGTTCTTCTGTGAAAGGACCGTGCAAAAACTAATCCATTATGAGCAACACAGTCGACTGTCAAAATAGAAGAAAATAGATTCCCTGTTATAAAAAATCTTGTGTTTCTATACACGGAGATGAAAAACTACCTAAATTAAGTACTTTTCCCTCAATTCCCGGGATATGCCCAATAACCCAAATTTAAGTAAATCGCATATAGTAGTTTCCATTTAAAACCAGAAAAAAAAACTTACTCTTAAGTAAGATTAATTCACGAAAATTTGAGAATATGCAATTTACTCAAAAGTAACTTATTGGGCTGAACTATATCGTTTGGTCGAATCTCTCGTTCCTTTTTGGACAACAATAACGAGTGCAAGTGAGAGGCTGAACTAAAAATTAAGTAAAAAGAACTCAAATTTTGGGTGCTATTTTTTCTCCGTGTACGTTCACCCGACCAATCATACAAGCGAATAAATCTTCAAAAAATCTTTTAACATTTCTCGCATCTACTTGCATCGCGCATCATTTTTTTTTTGAAGGAAGTCTTCAGAATCGTCATCAATCTTCTTTCTATAAACTCAACGTGCGCCCAATTAACCACAGTAAAACAAAATCTTTCCTGCATCGCCCCCCTCGGATAATTCTTTGTTTATGTATTCCACGAGATTTTATCTGGTTTTATGCTTGTGATAAACACAGTAGGTAAAGATTATTATCTAATCTATGAATGTATATCGGATGTTTAATTCTGTTAGACCGTGGCCTTTTTTGC